TAAATATTGAATTTAAAATTTTTGTTAAAATTTTTTTGCATTAACAAATTTTTTAAAAATTTTTTATCATAATATATAAATTTTTTAATAAAAATTTTTTCATAGTATACAAATTTTTATAAAATTTTTTATTAAATTCAATATTAAATTTTTTGATTCAGTATATCAAAATTTAATATTGATTTATTATTAAAATTTTTTGCTGATTTTTTCATCCATATTTTATATATAGAATAATTGTAATTAAAAAAGATTTATTAATGTTTTTAATAATAAAATTAATTAAATTGATTAAATTTAATAATAATTTTGATTGTTGAATAATATAATTTTGATTGATATAAAAAAGTTATTTTATAATATATTTTTAAAATATAAGATAATAATTATATTAATTTAAAAATCCATAGTAATAATCTGTAAACAATGATTTTATTAATTGAAAATTTATTCAAATCAGTAAAGAAGTAAAATTAAGTAGTAGTGAAGTTACAACATTTTATAAATATTTAATATATATACAAAAAAAAACATATTATTTTGATTTGATTGTGAATTAAAATATATAGATATATTAATTTAAAAATATAAATCTTTTTTGTATTTGTTTTAAAAAATAATTGATTAATATAAAATAAATGAATTACCAAAATATAAATAAATTTTTTACTAGTCATAATTAATAAAATAAAATCGTATATCATAATATAAAAAAAAATTATAATAATTTGTTATTATATTTTTTATTATATCAAATTTCTCTTATATAAAATTTAAATTTGATTATAATTCTATAAATTATAGTATAAAATAAAATTTAATTATAATTTTATAAATTATAGTTTAGAAATTTATAGGAAAATTTATTTAAAAATTTTTTTCAAGAATATAAATTTCTGAATTAAAATAGAAGCCTTGATTAATAATAAAATTTTGAAATAATATATAAAAATACATTTAAGAATGTTTTTTTTTGAATAATCGGAATAAAAAAAATTGCTTGTGGCATTTTAGTTAGAAAGGAAAATATATTAAATTTGTTTTTTATTATTTAATCATTTTTTATGACGACTAATTTGGATCCCTTTGTCAATATATTATATCAAAAACCTCGTGTCAAACTTTTTATTAAATTGCTTTTAATTATTAAATATTTTTTTATTATCCTTCCTTTTCGAATATAGAAAAAAAAAATTCTCATCAAAATGTTTTTGTTGAGCAAATTACTATTTCATTAATTTTTAAAATTTTAGATTAAAAAATTATAAAGTAGGAGTTCATGTTATCATTAAAATAATATTGTGGAATACTTGACAGTACAGAAATTCTACGTTTTTCACAATATCAAAACAATAATCAGAATGACAACAAAGGTCCACAAGATTCTTTCCATCAATCCACCGTGTAACACTGTTCTCGCAGCGTTCGACTTAATGGTCGCGGTCGCAGTCGCAGTCGCAGTCGGCAATGACGCGGACGCGCTAGCCGTTGTATTATCTGTAGTTGTTCCCAGATTATCTGTTGGAGTGGAGACGCCAAGTGTTGGGTCCCAAAATACACTTTTCGGTTGAATGGCTTGAATGTCGAAGGCTACAAGTTCGACAATAAGTGCGTCCGTTCCATTTCCCGAGTTGTCCACAGTGAAATTTCCCTTGGCTTCCAACAAAACCTCCCTTTCCACGGTCAAATTCGCTTTCTTGCCATCCGCCAAAACTGTCGAATCCCATTTATACTGGGCCATGGTATTTGTGCTGTTGTCCTTAACAAAGTATTGCGAGTTATTGAAGTTGATGGACTCGGCAAAAACTGCCTGAATGATTGCAATACTTGAATTAGAATAGACGTAAGGGTAATTTTGGAAGTCAAAGGAATATTTTATGGAAGATGGACTGAGTATGATTCCATCTTTGGTTTTGGTAACATTTCTTTAATTAAATGATAGAATGTGTGTGAGTAAAAGTTTTGTAGTGAAGGAATAAAAGAAAAAGAAGAAAATGCTCACCCAGTGATGTAGGCCGATATCGAAGCATTGAAAGGACCATTTTCGTTCTTTGATTCTGAAAAATCTTCTACAAATGTAGTCTCCAGGACAATAACACCGCTCGAATTCGTCACTGAGATATCACTCCATTTACCATAAAAATCAATGAAACTCTCGCTGTCCGCAAAAGATATGCTATCATTATATTCGATCAACCCAAGAACATCGACTCTAAAAGCAACTGCCGCGGCGGAATAATTCTGAGATTTAAACGCGGCGAATTTAACGCTTGGGTAATAAAAGGTGGAAAAATCGAACTCGTAGGCAGCAAAAGAGTCATTGGTAGCATTTGAGGATACAGAGATGGCCTCAATACTGTATGGGCGTTTTATCACAGTAACACTACGATCACTTTCAGCACATATTTGAGGTAAATTAACGAAAAGGAGGCAAAGGAGAACCGTAAGGCACAAGTGTTTTCTTAATTTACCAACAATTGATAACATCTCGGATTTTGATTTTTAATATCGGCATCCGCATCTGCCATATGTCAGATATGTACTGTATATATATATACATATCCGAGAAATAAAGCACAGTAGTTTGGAGCAACATGACGCAAAGACTGAGGTAACAACGCCAAGAATTATGAACGGCGCCGGAAAATAAGATATTCCCAAAGTAAAATATGGATAAAAATCACGCCAAACCCCCTATTGTCGTTTGAATAAGGACCAAAGTTATCTCGTGTTTAAGAAATTTTCAGGAGAAGTGCAAACAATATGCTACATCATAATCTCGCAATTCTGGAGGCATCGTTGCACAATCGGTTGGCGAACAGAATGTGGAGATTACGTGTGCGTGTACAGTCACCTTATTTAAAGATCGGGCGATACCTTTTGAGGTGAATGTATATGCGCATATACGTGTGTCTTTTTTGTTTTTCCTAATGTAAACGACTTTGTCACACGCAAAGGAAATATTGGGCACGTGATTATATTTACGAATCTTATTGTTGGTATTTGGACCAATTAGACCCGACGCATTTTGAATGAGCGTTGTCTAATCCGGTAAAAGTTTCAAACACCGAATTCTAAACATTTTCCTGCTAGTCCAAATGTGGAACAATTAATTACCTTTTGTTTATTTTAGTTTCAAAATGCGTAGAAAGTACGTAAGAAAGCAATTATCTAACCATTACTCCATACCCTTGTTATCTTTATAGATGAAAGATTGGTCGAATTCATAAATGTATCTTGTTAACTCCTTTAAACATACTATTTGCATCTCGTTAGAAAATTCTTTTCTTTATTAAACAGGAATAATTCATACCATCTGTATACAGTTACAGCATATCAATCTCTCCGCCTTTGTACCGAAACATTTGAATATCCTCATGTACAGTATTTTTAGAAATGTAACCATGGACCAAGGTCCATTTTATTTCGGAGTTATCATTGAGTAATAGATTATGACCGGTGACAAGACATCCCGGTTTTACTTGATGGATTACCGTAATAATTTTCGAGAGAATATCGTGAATGCAATTTTGCTTCGCGTGCATAAAAAATCAAGCAAGATTTCACAGACAATGCTAATAATATGATTACACCCAAATGACTCCGTCAGCAACTTTTTTTTTTTTGCAAGCATCCACATACGAAGTCTTTGTCGATTAAAAAGTAAATCACGTGATGATTCGGAATTTTACTTTTATTTTCGCAATTGACCGGTTTATATAGAAAAAGGAATCTACAGTATGTTATTCACGCGACGTTCTGATTCCTTCCTATTATCAAGATATGTCACCTTTCAGAATTTATTTACAGTTTGAGAAGTAAAACTATAAAACCAAAGGTTATAAATAAGCATTAAAGCGGGTAATACGAAATATTCATTAAAATTGTCTTTGCAAGGAGGTTCGTATGAACATTAAATAATAATAATAATAAAGTATACGTGTACATAAACTAATGTTGCCCTTATGTTACAAAAATCTAACGCGTTTTTCTAAAGAACTATCTAGAAAGATATCGGAATAGCACCCGTAACAAACATAATCACCCTCCAAAAGTCATTGATATGTTATTATACATTACTATTGCTAAATTGACTCGATACGGATTGTCTGTGAACCACTGTGCCTCGCCAGTCAAGTTCCCAAGATAATCGCCAAGACAATAATCCCGTTATTATAAATAATAATGCATCCGCCCAACCGCATGCCAAACTTGAAATGTATGCTCTACATTCTAGGACAAAATTCTCGTCTTCGGAGGTACAATTTGAAAACTCGTAGTATGGGAAAATGTTGGTTATACCTGTTGGTGTACATGATCAAAAAAAAATTTTTTAAGAGTTCAATGAATTGCGAATTGATTATTGGCTAAAGTTAAAAAATCGCGAACCTGATATTACCCATAGCATAGCAAAAAACCTGCGCAACGTTGAAATATGTTAAAGAAGATTCAGATAGAAGGGAATAAATACAACAATATTTATGGAAGACCCATCTACCCATCAATCCCTATATCTCTATAAGATGACGGGTTTTTCCAAAATGTGTTAAATCTAATTATATACCATCCTGGGGAAACAAGAAGAATCAAAGTCGGATAAAATAAACAGAATGAATAAATATATAAAAAGTTTCACCCTACCGGTTCCTATTATCGTGACTATAATGACGATGTAAAAAAAAATTTTGATTCCATAGCCTTCGGAACTCCTGTAACTACGTGGCAATTATGCATTAACAAAGAATGATTCTCTAAAAAGAAAGAAAGAAAATTAGACTCCTACCGGGAATTATAAAAGTGTGACACAGTCGGATCGGATTTTGAAAACTCTACGATTTGCGTTATCTCTTAATTCAAAGAAAGAACAGGAAACAAGGAATCGAGTAAGCCAGTGCAATAAGAATTAAGGAAAAAAAAAAAAAGAAAAGAAAAAATTTTCATGAATACCAAGGCTTAAACAAGCTAAGGCCAATAGAAGCTGAATAATTTTAAGACATCGAAATAGGAATGGTTTTGTATACAAGTCCATGACTAATGTAACGAATTTGTCATAAAGGAACCATCAGATTTCAAGACAAGGAAATTGATTTATTAAAATTTCATGCTATCCTACTCTTTGTCAAAAAATCTACTCTCGTGGAATGGAGAGTAAATTCCTGAAAGTCACCTGAAGCTTATTTATATATTAATCGCAGATAAGGGCTTATGTAAGTGTCGGTTGAGTCCTGCCTTTTTTAACGAATGTATTTTGTTTTGATTGGTGTAATTATTGGTCACTATGGAATGAAAAGAAAGAAAGAAGAGTAACACCTACTACGTATTACAATTTCCTGACAGTGAGGTATTCGACAGGCGCAACGCAATTTCGTGTAAATTACAAGTGGAGCATGCGTAGTGCATGCTATTATTCATACAGATCTTCGAAAAATGCGTAAATATTACTTGTAAGAAATAAGTTCTTAACATGTTTGTTTCATATCTGCTTTCAAACGTCCATTTGGAATAAT